GGGGTCCCAGCAGAGGCTCACCCCCCGCCTGCCTTTCTCCTTCTCCTGCAGTTCCCGCCCACGCTCGCGCACACCCGCTCGTTGGCCCAGAGTGCCTCGACTCTCCCGCTCCCTCCTCTCCCGGTCCCCCGAGCCCTCCTCCGAGGACGTCCTCACCGGTCCCCGAGGCGGAGGCTCCGGGCGAGGGCTCCCGGCTCTGCACAGCTTCCCAGCACCACCCCGGCTGCCCCGCTCCCCGCTTCCAGGGACGCCGGGGTGTTGCCCTGAAGCAGCCCACAGCCACTTCCGGTAAGGGTAATCACGTAGCAACTGAGAGTCCCGCCTCTACCCGGAGCCAATAGGTCGCAGAATGAGAGCTCTGACATTGGATTGGTTAGGCGTCCTGTCGGCTCACGGAAGAGTGCTGCACCTTTCCCATTGCACAATGGGAGATGTAGTCCAAGATAGTCGCTGTGGCTCCGCATGGGGCTAAAAGAAAGCTCTTAATTTAGATATGAGGGGAATTCCTTCCTAGGCAGCAAAAGTGCATTCACTGCATTTATAGTAACGTAAATTAACTAGGGAAATTTATTGCTCATCATTTTTTTAAATATATATTTTATTGATTTTTTACAGAGAGGAAGGGAGAGGGATAGAGAGTTAGAAACATCGATGAGAGAGAAACACTGATCAGCTGCCTCCTGCAAACCCTCCTCCTGGAGATGTGCCCACAACCAAGGTACATGCCCTTGACTGGAATCGAACCTGGGACCCTCAGTCAGCAGGCCGACGCTCTATCCCCTGAGCCACACCGGTTAGGGCTGCTCATCATTTTTTAGTAGTGTGATTAATATCAGGTGAACAACACACTGATCATAAATAACCCATAAGCCTTTAATAAGCAACAGAAATGTGAATATAAGGTCATAGAACACTCAAACCCCCCTCAAAAAAAAAAAAAAAGAATGGCTGCCTTGTGCTCTGATTAAATCAATGAGCACCTGACACGTAGTTAAGAGACTAGTTTCTACTGTCCATCCTTTCACCAGAGCATGGACTCAGTTTGCATATCTGCAAAGTGGGAATAATATCTGTCCTAACTAATTTGAAGAGACTGTTTAAGAGGAAAAAGAGTGACACAATGTATAACCTCTCCACACACCCTATTTGGCAGAAGGGTTGCTACTAAAGAGCTTTAGTTTTGCTAACACAGAGAACAAAAATCTTTCTCTCAGGTGTTCTCAACCTCCTAGAGAAGGTAAGTGTGGCAAAGACAACTCTGGCCATTATCAATCAGAAAACTGGGGGACAGGAAAGTTAAGAGATGTTACTATAACCGGAATCAAGGTTCTGCTGCCTGCACCATGAAAACCAAACTCGTGAGACCAATGCTGGTGAAAAAGGAAAGGTTTGAGTGCTGGGGGACTCGTCCCAAAGCCCATCTCTGCATCTCAGTGCAGGCAGAGGTTTTTATAAGGAGAGGCAATGCAGAACAAAGAGATCAAGGGGAGGGGGTTGAGAAGTTATCTGCGTGCAGGCCAGCACAGTCCATTCCGGTAAGGATCTTGAAACTGGTCAAGTGATGGTCTGATGTGCGTCATCTGGTTCTACATCATTCTGGTTCTGTCTCATCCTCCATCTATGGTTGAAAATCAGCCAGTCTCCCAGAACTGGGATGACTGGAGGCCGGAGTCTGCATCTTCTGAAGTTAGTTCCTAGGATTCTTATACAAGCATGCTGTTCTCTACAAGCTATGTACATACTAGAGTCAGCTTTTACAGAAAGTGTCAAAAAATGGTGGGGTGGGTTACAATTCCCCACCGTTACACTGCTGGTTGAAAGGAGAGGGGCACACCCAGAGAAGCTCCTGATAAGTTCCACTGTGGAGAGGCATCTGGCTCCCACTAACTCCCCAAACTAGTCCCAGGGCCACTCGGGGCCGATTCCAGAATGAGGAGACCAGGTTGTTGTTCCTGCAGATCCCCAGCCAGATTCCCAGAACATAGTCCTTCCTCATGTTTAACCTTAAATCTTGCAGTGGCAGGTCTGCCTAGACATCCTTTATTCTGCCTGCACATGACAAAGCCTCGCTCCCCCTTCCTTTCCACTCTCCTTAAGAGTCTCAGAGAAGCCAGACACCGACTGCAAGGAACTCGAAGGGCTCGCCAGTTTACATCACAAACCTTGCACAAAACAGGGACTCAAAAAACCTCTTGTGGACTTGGTCCCTATGTTTCAGAACTTGCAATCAATTTGGTTGACTTTAATAGCCGTCAAAACTCTTACCTTTTGTCCCTTAGCATGTGTCCCTTGCTCTGCCGTGGGGAGAACTAATAAAATAAGGGTCATTGTGGAATTAATGGGATTACCTCACACAGATAAGCAATTTGCATTTTATCAGGTTTCCCTATCGGTTTGTACTCAGAAATGCAAACCAATGTTTAAATGCCCTTAGGCTAACATAATTAAGAAAGCAAGTCTTGCCCAGCCGGGTGTAGCTCAGCGGTTGAGCTTGGACACCGGTTCGGTTCCCGGTCAGGGCATATGCCCAGGTTGCGGGCTCGATCCCCAGGAGGCAGCCGATCAGTGGTTCTGTCTCATCATTGATGTTTCTCTCTCTCCCTCTCCCTTCCTCTCTGAAATCAATAAAAATATATTTAAAAAAAAAGAAGAAAGCAAGTCTTTGGGGGGAAATAACACAAATGACACCCACGGATGTGCTGGTAACATGCCCAGTAAGTGAGGAAGAGAGATGGGATTTTACACAGTAGGTTTCCTTCTCCAGTCAGGGATACGTAGGGATGATTTTTCAAAGACAGGGGAGGAAAAAACCCCATCAGTCTCAAATGTTATGCCCTACCCCCAGGTCAGAAATTCCACTGTTAAAACATTTATTCTTGTTTCATGCTGTTTACTTATAATATACAAAATAATCAACCACATAATAAGAAAGAAAACACTCATTAATCCTGCCATTTAAAGAAAATTATATAAAGATGTGAAATGTTCAATCCACCCTATTTCACACTGCAAGCTGCCCACCCTTCTCCCCTCTGCTTTATTTTTCTCCATACAGCATGTCACCACCTGAAATACTGGATATTTATTTCTTTATTGTCTGTCTCTGTTTAAATGCCCTTAGGCTAACATAATTAAGAAAGCAAGTCTTGCCCAGCCGGGTGTAGCGGGTGTAGCTCAGCTGTTGAGCGTCGACCCAGGAACCTGAGAGGTCACTGGTTCGGTTCCCGGTCAGGGCATATGCCCAAGTTGCGGGCTCGATCCCCAGGAGGCAGCCGATCAGTGGTTCTGTCTCATCATTGATGTTTCTCTCTCTCCCTCTCCCTTCCTCTCTGAAATCAATAAAAATATATTTAAAAAAAAAGAAGAAAGCAAGTCTTTGGGGGGAAATAACACAAATGACACCCACGGATGTGCTGGTAACATGCCCAGTAAGTGAGGAAGAGAGATGGGATTTTACACAGTAGGTTTCCTTCTCCAGTCAGGGATACGTAGGGATGATTTTTCAAAGACAGGGGAGGAAAAAACCCCGTCAGTCTCAAATGTTATGCCCTACCCCCAGGTCAGAAATTCCACTGTTAAAACATTTATTCTTGTTTCATGCTGTTTACTTATAATATACAAAATAATCAACCACATAATAAGAAAGAAAACACTCATTAATCCTGCCATTTAAAGAAAATTATATAAAGATGTGAAATGTTCAATCCACCCTATTTCACACTGCAAGCTGCCCACCCTTCTCCCCTCTGCTTTATTTTTCTCCATACAGCATGTCACCACCTGAAATACTGGATATTTATTTCTTTATTGTCTGTCTCCCTTTCTTTATTGTCTGTAAGCTGCATGAGGGTGGGAGGTTTGTCCACTTTGTTGTTACATCCACAGTGCCTAAACAGTGCTTAGAACGTAGTAAGCACTCAAAAAACATTGGCTGAAGAATGAATGAATGAATGAATGAATGAACAAACGAAGGAAGACATGAATCCCACTCTTTGGAGGAAACCACTTTTGGTTCCTGTCTATCAGACCTTTTCATGCTTATGTGGATGTAAATTTATATGCAGACATGTGCATACTTTTTAATTTTTACAGAAATGAGGTCATAATGTACTTATTGTTCTACAATGGGCTCTTTGCAATTAACATGTCATATACAGTTTCCAAGGTAAATTTCATAAGAAGTTACTCCAGACCTGCCGGCTTGGCTCAGTGGTTTGATGGTTCGATTCCCGGTCAGGGCACATGCCCAGGTTTCGGGCTCGATCCCCAGTGGGAGGGTGCAGGAAGCAGCTGATCAATGATTCTCTCACATCATAGATGTTTCTATCTTTTCCTCCCTATCCCTTCCTCTCTGAAATCAATAAAAATACTTGTTTTTAAAAGAAGTTACTCCATTCTGTTGTTGTTGTTAATCCTCACCCGAGGTATTTTTTTCCATTGCCTTTCCAGAGTGGAAAGGAGGGAGGGAGGGGGGAGAGACAGAGAAACATCGATGTGAGAGAAACACATCAATTGGTTGCCTCCAGCAGGCTCCCCAATCAGGGTGGGGATTGAACCTGGTATGTGCCCTTGACCAGAAATCGAACCCTTGATCCTTTGGTAAGTGGGCCGACGCTCTATCCACTGAGCCATGCCGGCCAGAGCACTCTATTGTTTTTTCTTTTCTTTTTTTTTCTTTAACATATTTTTATTGATTTCAGAGAGTGATAGATCCTCCCTTCCCCCAACTGGTGGGCGGAGTATGACGTAACCTGCAGCCCAGAAATACCTGAGTGACTAACCATGAACCTTATATGGACTATACATTGGACCACCAATCCACACCTGCCAAATACCCTAAGCCCTTGTCCTATATGGACAATGCAGTAAGCCACCAATCAGTGTGCGCCGAGTACACTAAGCCCCCACCCCTTCCCATTCCGCCCCTCAAAAGGCGTGCTCACCCCTGCACGTGCTGCTGTCCTCCCCTTGCGAGACAGCCCGGCAGGTCCTTCTCCTCTCATAAAGCCTGTAGTCCTGGTTTTCGGCCTCTGTCTGATTTTTCAGAGGGGAAGGGAGAGGAAGAGAAAGAGAGATAGAAACATCAATGATGAGAGAGAATCACTGATCGGCTCCCTCCTGCACAGCCCACACCCGAGCATGAGCCCTTGACTGGAATTGAACCCAGGACCCTTCAGTCCGGAGGTTGAAGCTCTATCTGCTGAGCCAAATCGGCTAGGGCGGCACTCTATTCTTTATAATGCTTTCATAGCATTCCATTCAATGAATGTCTC